AGCCGACTGCCAGCTCTCGGTTTCGGGAGCCAGTGAGACAGCGTGGCTTTCTGCGAGACACCTCTCTGGCCGTGGGCTGAACGGAGCCAGCCCACCCGCCTGGGTCTGACGGATGCGGGTCTGTGTGCTTAACGTGTTCCGTTCCCCGGGCACGTCGAATCCCAGCGCAGCGGGGCCCGCGGGGGCTGGGACGGGGACGCTGCCCCTCGTGTTCCTGCTCGGTGCCGCTCGAGGCTTTTTCTCTGCGCTGCTTGGGGAATAATTGCTGAGCGCGTTTCTGCTGCCAGCCCGGTGCTTGCAGTTTGCAGAGCTCGCGTCGGGCATCAGAAATCCTTGGAGCAATCGGGCAGCACTGAGAAAGGCAGCCAGAGCTGTCCGGGCAGTGGCAGAGGAGAGTGACAGTGCTGGGACACTTCTTTCCTTGGCCTCTTGGGCCAAGGCCGAATGTGGCACATGCTAGCTCAGGAGGAGGTTTTTGGCAGAAATGGGCTGGTTTGCTGGTTTTGGAGGAGCAGCCGAGCTGGTGACTGCCAATGCAACCCTGGCAATCCCCCTCAGTGAAAAAGGGTCACTGGAAGAAGGTACATTTAGATTGGATATTAGGAAGAAATTATTCACTGTGAGGGTGCTGAGACACTGGCACAGGTTGCCCAGGGAGGTTGTTGATGCCCCATCCCTGGAAGTGTTCAATGCCAGGTTGGATGAGGCTTTGAGCAACCTGTTGTAGTGAGCAGTGTCCCTACCCATGCAGGGGTGTTGGAACTAGATCTTTACTGTTCCTTCCACCCCAAACCATTCTATGATTCTGTGACAGCTGCCCTCCTGTGTCCTTACACTGATCCTACAGCGTGGTGTCCGTGCTGCGCTGGGCCCCTGGCTGGAGCGTGTCTCATTTCCCACTGAAGGGAGCAGCTGGTGGGGAGAAGACACTGGTGGGAAGGTGGTCCAGAGCTAGGCACAGGGTGCCAGCTGTGGCCATGGGCTTTGGAAGATGCTTTGCTTGTGACTCCTCTTATGCTGTACCAGCCTAAGGTGCTGTACCACAGGATGCTTGTCTCCCCGAGCTTTTAGGGGATGGATGTGAGCAAGAGGAGCGGAGGTGTCAGGTATTTAGGGTGACTGCTGCCTGCGGAGTATGCAGACTTGCAGGCAAGGGATGTGTACCAGGGTACTGTGCTGTGTGCCTGGCTGTGCCCCCCTGCCGAGGGTGTAGTGCAGAGGCTGGGAAAATATGATGCAAAGAAGGAAAGGGAAAGGCCACATCCCAGTGAGTCAGCCCAGCCTGCCAACAGCTCTGCTGGACAAATGCTTTGTCTCCCTGCATTGCAACACACCCACACACCAGGCCAGAGGGTTGTGACAGCAGTCAAGTTTGGGCTGAGTGATCTCCAGGCTGCCCAATCAGTTGCTGGTAGACAGCGGACAAGCTCTGGGGTGTATCTGGGGGCTCTGTGGTGGGAACCACACATGGCTTGTGCAATGAGCCTGTTTCCCAGAATGGACTCCTTGGGTTCATCTCTTACTTGCTCTACTGGTGCAGGAGCTGTGCAGGTGGGGTGTGCACAGCCCCGTGGTGCCTTGGAGGGAGCTTCCATGGTCTCTACCCCACCAGTGTGATGGGGACTTGGTGCTGGTGAATTGGCTGGGAGCAAGCACAGCTCCTGTGGGCATTATTGCTTGCCCTTCTTCCTGCAGTGTGGATCCTGCTGCCTTCAGGACACTGAGCTTCATGCTCCTACGGTCTCTTCTCTTGCAGGGGTTTTGAGCAGCTGAGCACCACCTGCGAGAGGACAAGATGTTTGGGGGAAAAATGACCAGCATTGGGAAGAAGTTGATCCGCCGGCGCGTGGTGGATCTGAGCTCCGAGGACACGCGTTTCGCTCGCTGCCTCTCCACACTGGACCTCATAGCCCTGGGTGTGGGCAGCACCCTAGGGGCTGGCGTGTACGTGCTGGCCGGGGAAGTGGCCAAGGATATGGCTGGTCCCTCCATTGTCCTCTGCTTCCTCGTGGCTGCTCTCTCATCAGTACTGGCCGGGCTCTGCTATGCAGAGTTTGGGGCTCGCGTCCCCAAGACTGGCTCTGCCTACCTCTACAGCTATGTCACCGTTGGTGAGATCTGGGCTTTCACAACTGGCTGGAACCTCATCCTCTCCTACGTGATAGGTACGGGGCTGGGTAGGGTGCTGGCCTCTGTGCCCAGGCTCCTTTCAGCACCACACTGGCAGTGTGAGGGACTCATGGGGCAGTGTGTGGTGCTACAGGAGCAGGGTGTGGGGTGCAAGCAGCAGGGAGGTGGATGGCAGGGTGGGGGTGGCCAGTGCTGCTCTGCTCTGGGCTCAGGCTGATGCACAGATTTGCCATCAACCAGGTACGGCCAGTGTGGCTCGAGCCTGGAGTGCAGCATTTGACAACATAATTGGCAACCACATCTCCACCTTCTTCACGAACACAACCACAATGCACCTGCCAGGGGTGCTGGCCAAGCACCCGGACTTCTTTGCTGTGATCCTGATTGGTCTGCTCACTGGTGAGTGTGTAGGAATGGCTCTGTGGCACCACAGGTTGGTGGCATGGGAGCCTAGCAGGTCCCCACTCACCCCTTCTGTCCTCACAGTGCTGCTGGCCTTTGGCGTCAGTGAATCTGCCCTTGTGAACAAAATCTTCACGGCAGTGAACCTGGTGGTGCTGGGCTTTGTCATCATCGCTGGCTTTGTGAAGGGAGACATCAAGAACTGGCAGCTCTCTGAGGAGGACTACATCAACCGCTCATACGTAGGCCCGCTGTTTGACATCCGGTGAGGAGATCAACCATGCCAGGCCAGGGTCTGGCACAGGACTGCCACCTGCCCCACTGCCTGAGCACCCCACAGCAGCTGCTCTCCTCCCTCATTTCCAGGAAAGAAAACTTTGGCTCTGGTGGGTTTGTCCCCTTTGGACTGGAAGGGATCCTGACCGGGGCTGCCACCTGTTTCTATGCCTTCGTGGGCTTTGACTGCATCGCCACCACAGGTACCACTTTGGATGAGGGCAGTGTGGACATTTCCCCAGCACAGCTGGCAGCTGGCTGGGACCTGCCAGGGAGGATGCTCCATGGTGTGGGAAACAGCCCTTCCCACTGCTCTTGGGAGGTTTCCCCATGGTGGCTCTGTCCCCAGCTGGGCTAGGACAAAAGGATTCACTGCCTGCCCTGCCCTAGGAAAAGGGCCTCCCCACAATGTGTGGTGGGAGCAGGGCTGCACCCTGTCTGTGCCAACAGCTCCCAGGGCAGTGGGGGGCCCTTCTGCAGCCAAGGCAAGGCTGATGCCTCCTGGTTATTTCCCAGCTTCAAGCAATGTTTTTCTAAAAGAATTGAGTTAATGCAGGACTGCTGCTCTCTGGAGCACAGGGAGCCTGCTTAATTTCCTCATTCCTCCAGGAATCTACTTAGTGGGTGGCTGGTACAGGCTGTGCTGCCTGTTGCTTCCCGCCCCCAGGGGCTCCTCGTCAGCCACCTCCTTTCATCCTATGGCAGCTGCCCAGCCCCTTGCCAAGGAGCAGCCTAGTGCAGCAGGAGAGTGGGCCTTTGCAAAGGCCAGGGGCACAGGGCATAACAGCTGTGTGGCTGTGTGTGTGCACACAGAGGATCCTCATTCAGTGGGCTCTGTGGGAGCTGCTGGTAGGAGCAGAGAGCTGATGCAGCCCAGGGCACTGCAAGCCCAGCTGCTGGGCAGATGCATGCCTGGAAGCCAGGGCTGCAGCCACACACCTCTGCTCTCAGCAGTGTCAAAGCCTCTGCCAGTGCAGCAGCGTGGCTGGGGGCACCCTATCCTCTCCAGCGGGCCCTGCCTACTGCTGCACAGCCCCAGGCTGCCATGGGAAGTGCCTGCTGGGGCTTGTCCCTTGGGACCAGTCGCCCTGCACGCTGCCGTGGAGCGGGGTTGGACGCTGCTTCTTGTCTCTGCACAGGGGAGGAAGCCAGGAACCCACAGCGCTCTATTCCCATCGGCATCATTGTGTCCCTCCTCATCTGCTTCGTGGCTTATTTTGGGGTCTCTGCAGCTCTGACCCTCATGGTGCCCTACTTCCTTCTGAACAAGGAGAGCCCGCTGCCTGAGGCTTTCAAGGCAGTGGGCTGGGAGCCTGCCCGCTACGCAGTTGCCGTCGGCTCACTCTGTGCCCTCTCCACCAGGTAGGACTGGCTCCAGCCCTGGCACAGCCTGGAGACCAGCAGCATGTGTCCCTGCAGGGCTGGGGGTTTGGCCTGTCTGGCTGCTGTCCTGCTCAGCCAGTCTCACCCTGTCTGGGTGATGGGTGTGTTCAGCTTGCCCGACAGGCCCTGAGCCGTCTCTCCCCACGGCAGCTTGCTGGGCTCCATGTTCCCCATGCCCCGTGTGATCTACGCCATGGCAGAGGACGGGCTGCTCTTCAAGTTCCTCTCCAGCATCAACAGCCGCACAAAAACCCCTCTGTTAGCCACCATCACTTCAGGGCTCCTTGCGGGTAAGGCTCCCAGCTGCCACCTGACACTTGGCACCGTGGCAGTCGGGAGCCATGCTCATGCTGCGTGTCCTTGTTGCAGCCATGATGGCCTTCCTGCTTGACCTGAAGGACCTGGTGGACCTCATGTCAATTGGCACGCTGCTGGCTTACTCCCTGGTGGCAGTGTGCGTGCTCATCCTCCGGTGAGTGCCTCCTCTCAGGGGCAGTGCCTGTGGTGAATGTCCTTGCACTGAGCCTGGGGCTTGTGGCCACAGCTTTTTCCGAGGGAGACACAGCCTGGAGAAGCAACAAGCCCCCAAGATGGAGGCTGCTCACAAGAGTCTGTGTGATGTCTCTGGCCACATCTGTGGGGTGGTTGTTGTGGGGCTGCTATTGGAGCAGCATGAGGGCTGGAGGAGTGGGAGGATAAGAGGGTGCTGCCCGCTGTCCCCATGGGCTGGGAAGTTTGTTGGGGTCCCCTGCAGCTTGTCCCATCTGCTCAGGTACCAGTTCGGGCAGCTGAACTCCTCAAAGGCCATGGAAATGCTGGAGCTGACTGGGAATGAGGAGGAGAGGGTGGTCATGAACCCGGCCATCACTCCTGGTGACCCTCTTCAACCCGCCCACAGCCACCCCCACTGCGCTCTCGGGGCGCATCGTCTACATCTGTGTCTCAGTCATTGGTGAGTGAGCAGGAGCTGGTGGTTGGTGTCCCCTCCTGCCAGGGGCTGGAGCATTTTGGCGTGTCTTTGCAAAGCTGGGAGGGGATGGTGGGCACGCTGGGCAGAGGAGGGGACTCAGCAGCACAGATGCTGCTGGCAGCACCAGTGGGTGCTGGACCTGCTCTGTCTTGAGCAGGGTGCCAAGTGCTGAGCTAGGCATGTGCAGGTGGACATGGGAGCTCCCTGTGACATTCCTGGCCCAGGGTGACCACCCGGCAAGGGTGTCTTGACCCCCTGAGAGCACTCAGGCTCAGCCAGTGAGGTTTGATCTGTCCAACAATAGCTTCATTGTGCAGCCAGAATGGGGCAGCTCAGCCAGGTCTGGGTAAGTATCAGAGCAGGGTTTGAGCTCAGGTGAGTCCAGGCTCTCCTCAGCTTGCCAGGCTGGCAAGTTTGCGCAGCAAAGCACTTTCCTGAGACTTTGGGGAGCGTGTGCTGGACCCATATCTGACCAAGAGGTGCAAGTGCCTCAGCCCAGCTGTGGGTGAGGCTGGGCATCTGGAGGAAGCCACGTGCCGTGCAGCCCCCTGACTGCCCCCTCTCTTGCAGCTACACTGATCACAGTCATCTGCGTGGTCCTGACACTTCAGGTGACTGCACTGAAGGAGGCCAATGTGGGCTGGATTGTGGCCCTGGTGCTGCTCCTTGTGGCTCTGCTCATTCCCATCATCATCGTTTGGAGGCAGCCACAGAGCAACGTGCGGTTGAACTTCAAAGTGAGTGCAGCCCCCAGCGGCTCGGTGTCTGCACCCCTGTGGGCCCCTAGCAGGGTCTGGGCCATTGCAGGGTCTGCCAGGGCTTGCTGCTGGGCAGTAACTATCCAGGAAAGCCCAGGGCCCTGAGACACAGCTCTCTGAGATGCCTCATGGAAGTCATGGAAGTGCCAGGGTCTTCTAGGCTGTGGCAGGGGTGGGATCCCTCTGCAGCCAGAAGCATCCTCGGAGCCTGGCAAGGTCCCTCAAGGCACAGCTGACACTGCATCTCTTGTCCCTCACAGGTGCCTTTCCTCCCACTCCTGCCAGTCTTCAGCATCTTTGTTAACATCCTGCTGATGGTACAGTTGAGTGCTGGCACCTGGGTGCGTTTTGCCATCTGGATGGCTCTGGGTAGGTGTCCTGCAGAGGGGAACATGGTGCCTGCAGCATCTTCCCTTGGGGGGGGATGTTACCCTGGTAGCCCACCGCTGTGCATTTCATTGTGGAAACTGTCCTGCAGGTTTTATAATTTACTTTGGCTATGGGATTCGGAACAGCGTGGAAGGGAAAAACACGGAGGAGCCCCGTGCCACAGTAGAAAAGCCTCTGCACCACCCTGGACTGGACCTTAGCCCTGGGGCTGCGGCAGTCTGAGGACCTAGGCACCAGCACTCCATGGACCTCTGCCAGTATTCCTGCTCAGGGTACAAGATTGGGATCCACACGATCCCAAAGTCAGGACCGTGGAGCCAGTATTTTCCCCTCGCAGAGCAGAGGTCAGGGAGATGAATCCCTGGGCCAGGTAGGAGCACTGGTCCATCCTCCCAGTGCTGCCAAGGGGCAGTGACACCAGTACAGCCCTCCCACCATGGAAGCTGCTGTCAGAAATGCTGCTTTCCCTGCGCACAGCAGGCCCCGCGTGATGGTACAGCTGTACTTGTTCTGTCTGTCCATGTGGCTGTGGTCACCACCTGCTCTCCATGCTTTCCACGTGCTGGGCATGTACATGGCACCTATGGCTGAAGCTGTGCAGTTAGCCCTGGGAGGCTCATTCTGGTACTGCCAGCTGTCCAGTGCTCCAGCACAGGACGGGAAGCTGGGGCAGCTTGGGGCTCAGCTGGCCAAAACCCTCTCTGCATGCCCCCCTGAGCCCCATGCTGCCCTGGCCATGCTATTTGGTGTGAGCAACTAGTTCAGGTGTCTGTGAAGATGTCCGCAGTGTATCCGTACCCATGTCCAGCCTTGTAGGCCTTTGTATAATTGGTATTTTAATGTCAACTTTTATACATATTAAACAAAATGGTTTTTAAGTGCTTGTCTCTGTTGGTCCTGTGGCATCTTGTGTTAATGCTCTGTGGTCCCGGCCCCTCCCCAGGCAGGACCCCACGTGCTCCTGGGCTGGATGCCAGGCTGGTGCCAGCACAGAGCAGGTCCTGGCCACAGCTGGCTGTGCTGGGTGAGCTCCCTGCCCAAAACCTGCCAGCTGGAGCCACCAACCCTCTCACTGTCCAGGAACCGTGGAGCAGTGCTCCAGAGCAGCTCAACCCAGCACTGCTGGTACCTGTGGGCAGGACACCATCCTGCCATAGCCCCACCCTGCAGGCCTTGTGCTGCTTGGGACTGTGTCACCATGTCCCAGGGCAGCAGCTGCAGTAAAGACCTTGGAAATATCTCCTGGAAGCTCCAGTAGTGGCCTGCAGAGGAAGCACGGCCAGGAGCTGGACTGTATCCATGTGAGAAGATGATGATTTCCCTGTTTCTGGTCTGGTCTAAATCAACCATGACAGATTATTTTGCAAAACAAACCAATTTAGGGCAGATGCAACTTGCGTGGTTTTGGTGTCTCTCCCTGTTTACTGGCAGTGGAACAGGGTCAGCGGCAAGGGCCCTACAGCATCAGCTCTATGAGGGCTGCCTGGGAGCTGTAGAGCTGGGCTCTGCCTGCCCCACTGCCCTGGGTCAGGATTCCCTGTCAGAGCCTCAGGCTCCAGCCCTTAATCACAGCCGACTCCTACTACTGGCTCCTTGCAGGTGCTTCCAGCTCTCCCACCTGGTGTGGCTCTTCTGGCTGGGGCAGCCCCTGGAGCCCTGCTGAGCCCTGTGCCCACAGCTCTCCTGGCACCCACACACCTGGGTCTGGTGCTGTTGTCCAAGTCTAAGGGTTAATAGGCCCACGGCTGCAGTCCTCACCCTGGGGTCTGGAACAGCCCTCTGAGCCTGTTTGTGCCTGTGTCCCCATGCACATGTGCAAGTCCATGCCCATGTGTGTATTTGTGTGTTTGTTTGTGCATGTCTGTGTCACGGAGCACTGGTATCCCATCCTGGGCACCCATTGGGACTGGCCCTTCCTGGCCCCCGCTGTCATTATTGCACATCTTAGTGCATCAGTTGGTGGATGAATAACACCCAGCCAGAGCCCCAAAACGTTGTGGGTGCAGGGGAGCAGCCTGTGTGTGCTCTCCTACTGCTTTAGCTGCTGCTGCATCACCCTGTGTGCGGCCAGCTGAGTTGCTCTGAGAGCAACCTGGGGCCCACGTTTGTGGGTGAAGGCTGTCAGATGTTGGGGGCAGCAGGGTGGGCTTTCCCCTCCCATGGCTTCCCGCTCTCCCACCTGGTGTGGCTCTTCTGGCTGGGGCAGCCCCTGGAGCCCTGCTGAGCCCTGTGCCCACAGCTCTCCTGGCACCCACACACCTGGGTCTGGTGCTGTTGTCCAAGTCTAAGGGTTAATAGGCCCACGGCTGCAGTCCTCACCCTGGGGTCTGGAACAGCCCCCTGAGCCTGTTTGTGCCTGTGTCCCCATGCACATGTGCAAGTCCATGCCCATGTGTGTATTTGTGTGTTTGTTTGTGCATGTCTGTGTCACGGAGCACTGGTATCCCATCCTGGGCACCCATTGGGACTGGCCCTTCCTGGCCCCCGCTGTCATTATTGCACATCTTAGTGCATCAGTTGGTGGATGAATAACACCCAGCCAGAGCCCCAAAACGTTGTGGGTGCAGGGGAGCAGCCTGTGTGTGCTCTCCTACTGCTTTAGCTGCTGCTGCATCACCCTGTGTGCGGCCAGCTGAGTTGCTCTGAGAGCAACCTGGGGCCCACGTTTGTGGGTGAAGGCTGTCAGATGTTGGGGGCAGCAGGGTGGGCTTTCCCCTCCCATGCCAGTCTGGAAGGGGCCATTTTCTGGTTTGAGAAAACGGCATCAAAAAGGGCGCAGGCCTCTCAGCCAGGCTTTGTCCCTGAGCAGCTCAGTCCCAGCCTGTCTCACAGCTGCCTGTGGTTTGGCCCGTCAGCGGGGGAGTTTCCACCCAGATCTCACAGCACTGCTGTGTTCCTGCCTGCTGCCCGGCCATGGGCCTCCCCAGGGCAGCTGCTGGCAGAGCGGCTGGCAGAGCCTTGGAGGGAGCCAAGCAAGCCTGAAGCTGCTTCCTTGACAGGGTTTCAGAGCAGTTCTCTTTACTGACCAGCTGCTTGCCAAGGAAGAGCTTCCCGGGGGGCTGCATGTGTGTGTGCAGGCTCAGGGCAGGACTGGGCTGTTGGAGGGGAGAGCTGGCACTGCACAGCCCGACTCTTGCTCTGCTCCCCTTCCAGAACATGGGTGGTACCTGGCACGTGGAGATATAGATGCTGATTAAATTTTAAATTGGGCACAACGATCCAGCCATCTGGCTGGCCCGCACTGATTTGTGACAGCAAATATTTCAGCCTGAGGAATTAATGCACCACCTTCTTCCCTGTAGGACCAGCAAGCAGGTACAATGGTACCAGTGGTCCTCCCCTCAGATGAGCAGCTGGTGGACAGGAGCTGTGCTGGCTGCCAGGTGGGACACATCCATCAGCAGGGCATGAGCCCTGCAATCTGGGGAATCCACCCCGGGGCAGACAGGGTTACTGATGCAACAGAGCAGCAAACTCATCAGCTTGTGATATTTCTGTGTTGCAGGGGCTCACCATCCAGAACTCCAGGACATCAAAGCTGGTAATGAGTGAGATTCCTGTCGCTCCTTGCTCACCCAGCTCCAGGCAAGTCCCAGCCTTTCCGCTCTTTGTGGTAACAGCTCAAGCATGCTCGACCCAGTAGCTGGCAGGAAGCTGTGTGCATCTGGTAATCCTGCCAGCCCCGAGCCACGGCAGGGGGCCACTCTTTAATCATGCAGGCTTAATGCTCTCCTTGCTTTGTCTTTGCAGGTCTGGCACGATGACTTGCTGCCAGGTGGTTGCTCTTTTCTTGCTCCCCTTTCTTTCCAGTGTTGCAGCTGGTGCTGCTGGTCCCCCCTCTTGTTCCCTGGCCCATGCTGCAAGTAGCCAAAGGGCAGTTCTTGTCACAGCCTGGTCTGGAACTGACAGTGTGCTGCAGTGATGCCTGCACCAAGTGGGAGGCTGCCCCTGCAGCCACGGCAGGTGGCCACTCTTTAATCATGCAGGCTTAATGCTCTCCTTGCTTTGTCTTTGCAGGTCTGGCACGATGACTTGCTGCCAGGTGGTTGCTCTTTTCTTGCTCCCCTTTCTTTCCAGTGTTGCAGCTGGTGCTGCTGGTCCCCCCTCTTGTTCCCTGGCCCATGCTGCAAGTAGCCAAAGGGCAGTTCTTGTCACAGCCTGGTCTGGAACTGACAGTGTGCTGCAGTGATGCCTGCACCAAGTGGGAGGCTGCCCTGGTCCCTTAGGACTTCCAGGAGTACCTCTCTTCTTAGACAGTGCATCTCAATGGCACTCACACCTTCATGGTAGTGGAAGTGAGCCCAGAGAGCTGGGAGCACCTACTGACTCGTGAACTTTCTCATCTCTCTTTGGTTCCATCTGGAACTGCTGTTAGAAGGAAGGGTTCCTGACATTTACTGTAGCTGTAGCATTTGAGGTGGATTATTTTGGGCAAATACATGTATTTGAATAGAAGTCAGCACAAATCTCTTTGCAAAGGTTATGTTGAAAGAGAAAGTGCATAGATCACTTAGCCCTGTTTTGGGACTTGCTGAAGTCTTCCTCCAGACTGAAGTGAGTGGGACAGGGAGATCTGTGTAGAGCTGAAATCACAGTAGCTTGCAGAAATAGTGTCTAACACCTTCTACAGTCATAAAACAGTCCAGGCACATGATTGAGCAGATGTCTGCATGTTCTGTCACATACACAGAACTGATGTGTCCAACAAGCCACACTAGGCTCTTCCAGGAGCAAACTGAAACCTTGTCTCATGTTCCTCTATCTAATACATGAGAAATTTATTTGCTAATTCTAGACTTCCATAGCTGATACCTCTCCCCATCTTCCTTAAGTTTTCCTGTTTCCCTGCTGTGTTTGCCCAGGCAATTGTTCCCTCTGTAATTCATATTCTCCACAAAGAACTTCATGCTGATGATGCTTTGCCAGGCTGGACAGACAATTGCTTGTATTTTTCACTTTTAAGTTGATGTCTTGCTCCTTTTCACTGCATTTCAGGGACAACCCACATCACAGACTTGTCCCTGGTGTCACTGCTTAAATCTGCTGAATACTAAACCTGTGACAGCTGTACAGGAGCAGCAACCAGACTTGCAAAACAAACAGGTAGGAGACATTTCAACAAACTGAATGTAACTCCCCCTTCCCGTTCAGTTCTCAAGACCTCGGGCTCTTGTGAGCATTAAACCAATTTAAATTGTATGCCTGCTCTGCAGATGGGTGTG